CAGTAGGGTGCCGTCGGAGCGGGGCATCAGGAGCTGCTCAGCTTCCCCTCGCTCCATGGGACCGGCGTACCTGGGGGTGATGGGGTTGGGAGGTCCTGAGGCCCCCAAACTGCCATCCCCTGCCCCTCTTGGGGCAATGTGGGGAGGGAAGGGGGAGCTGGGGGGGCTATGGGGCAACCTGGATGAAGGATTTGGGGAAGACACCAGGAGGGTTGGGGGCCTTGGGGAAGGATTTGGGGGAGGCTCTGGAGCTGTGGGGTGATAACAGGAAAGATGTGGGGCTCAGAAGAAGATTTGGGGGGCTCTGGTGCCTAGGGGGTGACCCTGAGGAAGGATTTGGGGGGGGTCCTGGAAGGATGGAGAGCTGAGAGGAGGATTTGGGGTGACCCCAAGGAGGGATGGGGAACCACAGGAGGGATTTTGGGGGGCTCAGGGAGCTATGGGGTGACTCCAGGAAGGATGGGGTGACCTTAAGGGGAGTTTAGGTGTGACCCCAGGAAGGACAGGACCCCAGGAGATGATTTGTGGGGTCCTGGGGGACACAGGGTGACCCTGGGGAAGGATTTGGGGTGCCCTAGTGAGGACCCCCAACACCAACCAGGGGTAGACGGAGAGATCTGGCAACGGCACCTGGGAAAGAGAAGCAGAGTTGGGGGTCAAGGGGGGACAGAAGGGGACTTCTCTGAGACCCCCCTATATCCCATAGACACCCCAAACATCTTGAGGACATCAGGGGCTCCCGGGGATGTTTTGGGATCCCCGTACTCACGCAGATGAAGGGTCTCACGGCGGTGCAAGGGAACCAGCCCAGGTCACCGTTGGCCACGTTCCTGCCCTGGGGATGAAGGACCATGGGGTCAGGGGGGGATCAGAGGGGTCCCCTTGCCCCCCATGAGGCTGGAAGGACCACAGGGGTCCCGTCTGGCCATGGGGGTCCAGCCCCATAGTGGGGGTCCAACCTGGTTGAGGGGACCAGTATGATCTGCCACATAGAGGTCCATCCCAGTATGACCATAATGGTTTGCCCCATAGCAGAGGTCCATCCCAGTATGACCATAATGGTTTGCCCCATAGCAAAGGTCCATTTCAGTATGACCATAATGGTTTGCCCCATAGCAGAGGTCCATTCCAGTATGACCATAATGGTTTGCCCCATAGCAGAGGTCCATCCCAGTATGACCATAGTGCTCTGCCCCATAGCAGAGGTCCATCCCAGTATGACCATAGTGCTCTGCCCCATAGCAGAGGTCCATCCCAGTATGACCATAGTGGTTTGCCCCATAGCAGAGGTCCATCCCAGTATGACCATAGTGGTTTGCCCCATAGCAGAGGTCCATCCCAGTATGACCATAGTGGTTTGCCCCATAGCAGAGGTCCATCCCAGTATGACCATAGTGGTTTGCCCCATAGCAGAGGTCCATCCCAGTATGACCATAGTGGTTTGCCCCATAGCAGAGGTCCATCCCAGTATGACCATAGTGGTTTGCCCCATAGCAGAGGTCCATCCCAGTATGACCATAGTGGTTTGCCCCATAGCAGAGGTCCATCCCAGTATGACCATAGTGGTTTGCCCCATAGCAGAAGTCCATCCCAGTATGACCATAATGGTTTGCCCCATAGCAGAGGTCCATCCCAGTATGGCCATAGTGCTCTGCCCCACAGCAGAGGTCCATCCCAGTATGACCATAGTGGTTTGCCCCATAGCAGAAGTCCATCCCAGTATGACCATAATGGTTTGCCCCATAGCAGAGGTCCATCCCAGTATGGCCATAGTGGTTTGCCCCATAGCAGAGGTCCACCCCAGCATGACCAGGAGGGTCCCCGTCCCCACCTGCCACCAGAGCTGCTCGGCCTCGGCCACGGTGACCTCCACGACGTCCCCAGGGCTGAGGCGTAGGGCAGGACCCAAGGCCCCCGGCGGTGGGGGGATGCCGCTATAGGACTGGCTCGCCTCCATCTTGGGCAGCCCTGGATGGGGGACACACGATGGGGTGGGTGAACCCAAAAGTCCATGGCATGGGCACCCCCTCTGCCCCCCAGAAATGTGGACCCGGGCATCCGGCCCTGTAACTTTGTCCTCACCCAGGTCTCGTTTCTTCTCAGGGCCCGGCCGTTGCGACTTGGTCTGGGGAGTAATGAGACCTCAATTAGTCCCAGGAGGGGTTAGGGGGGGACCTGACCCCCACTGGGGTCTCCCCACTCCTAAGTTCAAGGCATTTCAGCCCATTTTGACCCATTTCGTTGTTACCTTCCTCGCGCCAGAGCCCGAATCTGTGGAGTGGAAGAGTAAACGCTCGTTAGTTGGGGGTATTTAATGTCTGCCTTGATTAACACCCACTGCTAATTAGGGCTGGGTGGTCCTCATGAGTGTATCCCATCATGGCCGGCACCACCTTGGCCATCCCTATCCCACAATGCCTTGCTTTGTACCAGCCACCTTGTATCCCACAATGCCCTGCTCCATGTTGGCCATATTGGATCCTACAATGCCCCTCTCCTCCATCCCACAGTGCCCCACTCCCCATCCCATGATGCTCCACGACCCCACTATCCCATGATGCCTCTCACCAGAGCCGACCCGGCCGCAGGTCCCCAGCCGCCCCAGACATTCCTTGTTCGCGGGAGCCCGGCAGCGGCTGGCGC